GGGGAGGGGGACGGGCAAGATTTAGACAGGAAGGCCGCCTGCAGCCATTCAGAGAAAGTCAAAAAACCTGAGACAGGACCCAATCAATGACCAATCCGACTTTATTCAAGCAAACTTTTCAGAAGTGTTTTAAGTGGATGTTCGAGTTTTCTGTGTTTTCAGAATAAGCCCGAAGAACTCAAGCCAAAGATAGTGAGCGCAATGAGCCTGCTACTTCTACATTTCTGTAGCCCAAATGTCTTTGTATTCAGAGACAAAGGATGCAATAAGCTGATGAGAAGGAAGCCATTTGCCTCCCGTCTCTTTAAACCTGCAATGATTTCTCCCAGTTTCTTCCAGCATTGCAAGGCATAGCATTGTTAGAGGACCTTTTCTTCAGCCCTGTTTCAGAGGAGAGCGCATCAAACTTACCGGAAAATGAGGTAGAGAAACTTGACCATTGGCCTTAACGCTCCGATGCATTTCCCTCTGGAGGTGCTTCTTGCTCCCCAGTCTGTAAGGAGGGATTCCATCTCTGCAAACGGAAAAGACAGGTCATGGTCAACCAGGATAACCTAGGCTTATGTATTCCAACATATTATGCTGTAAGTCAATGGACCATTGCAATGTACTTTCCAAAAAGTCACTTCCATGTTCTCTGAAACAGTCTGAAAAGCCTGATTTTCTGAAGTCCTGAGCACCCAGGACTCCAAGTGAAGTCAATAAGTCTATGGCGATGTGTCCATACTACCAAGCCTGTTATTCCAGAATAAGAGGACGTGGAATTTGAACTCTGTAGTCCTGCTTTTCATGAAGAGTAACACTATTCCCAAACTTCTAAGTCCGAAATAATGTTAAGTGTGGATGCTCCAGCGCTGTTAATTCGAATGTATTAGCCTCCAGAAATCCAGAGTGCTTCATGGGGCTCTGAGTCCGAGGTAGCACGTCCACATTAACGGAACCTGCCTCAGACTACATGCGATTCTTCCCCTTCGTGAGGACACAGAACTTCAAATTTGTAAAATCAGGAGCCGAGAAATCAAACTTAGTAAATTTGGACTAATCTCCTAGTGTAGACCTGGCCAGGGTGATTAATGCCTTAAAAAAAAAATTTTCAAGCCTAAGACACTTGGCCTAACTGTTCAGTAGCTGAGCAAGAGCTGCAAAGTAAGCTATGGCTCCAGTCATGAAGGCATCTTATTATGGATAGACCTCTACAGAGTCCCATTGACTTCAACAGGCCTCTTGCCTTGTATATAGACTGGGGACTAACAGCACAAGTTGGACACACACACGCACACCGCTCTTACACTTGTTCTGCATGTCAAACTGTAGGCAGTCTGGAGGAAGATGCTAAATCTAAAGCACTTTGAAGAGCTTTCACCTCTCTCCCAGTAGGTGGGACCCAAGATGCCTCTTCTGCCTTTGAGGTTGTCATGCACAACCAAGCCAAGTCAATACAAGATGCAGCAACAGAGCTCAGCTCTAAAGCAATGGAACTTCATTCTCCTTCCTGGTTTTGTCAACCCACTGGGATAGAGCATTCAAAAACAATTCCCTGGATGAAGTGAGAAGAGCTGTGACAATTGCCATCAAGACAGCAGCTGCAATAATTCCACTCGCGCAATGAGGTACGTGGTCATCTAGCCATGCAAAAATCTACCCATATCAGCATTAAGAACATAAGAACGGCAATACTGGGTGAGACCAAAGGTCCATCTTGCCCAGTAACCTTTCTTCTGACTGTGGCCTATGTCAGGTGCTTCAGAGGGAAAAGACAGAACAGGGAATCGAGCGATCCATCCCAGCTTTTAGCAAGGAGAGTATAGGGACACTTCAGAGCATGGTTTTGCATTCCCACCCATCCTGGCTAATATCACTGATGGACCTTCTTTGAGCATGAATAGTCCAGTGGTCAAAAAACATGGCTGGTTATCAAGAGTTTCTATTCACAGATTCCCCACAAGTTTGAGGAACAACTGTAGTCTTTATGCTCCAGTGTCTCCACCCCCCCTCTCTTCCCCTAAATCCATAAGCGATAATACCTCCCTATCCAACAAAATACTGTGACATCCCACTCTCCCACCAAAGTTTCACCACTTCCCACTGTCACAACAATGAAAGGACTATGGCCAAAATGTTTCCAAAGAGTGACTAGTGATTCGTTGCGTGTGCGATTCAATGTTTGGGTGCCTGGCCTGAGACAAGCTGAAGGGGCCAATGTTCTGGAAGCACCAAGCCTCTACCCCAAAGGGAGGTGGGACCCGGTGGAATTTGGGCCCCATTATTGGTTCCTGAGCATGGGTGCCCAAAAATTGAGAGACAAGCCCTAGTGCTTCTAAGTTTCCATTACAAAGCAACTCATTCATAAGTGATATGGAGGGGCAAAGACTGAAGAAAAAGGTCAAACCAGTGAACTGTTTGAAATGAACCGAGACTTGGTCAAGGGAAAAGATGTTTGGGTCAATGATTTAACAAGCTGGGCAGTCACCACGGAGACTCTGATTATGTCACACGGAGGGCCACTCATGGGGGGGGCGGGCAGTAGCAGGAGTTGGAGCCAAAGCTCCTTTAAATTGCCACCGGAACCCCCCGTAGTTGGGGTGGTGCTGAGGCTTGGGTGGGGGAGACTAGACCACAGCCCCACCCCTTCTGTCAGAAGCCCAATCCAGAGGGCACAGAGTCAAGCCCCTCCCCTTTCCTGGCACCCGTCAAAGTCTGTCGCCGCCCTGGTCACAAGCGAGTTTGAGGTGCTTGGGTTGGTTCCTAATGAAAAATCTGCCCTCCATTCTGCCTCAGAGCAGCAACTCAGGCACGGAGCCCCCTATGAGAACACCCTCTGGAGAATCATGCCTGGCATCTGTCTACACAATTCCGTACACGGCCGACGTTATCAGCCCTTATCACGAGCACTAAACGTTTATGCTCCTGATGAAAGACGGAGCAATAACAGTATGAGAATATCTATTGAACTTGGCGTTGCGGCCATGCCAGCAAAAGCAGAGGTTGTAAAAGCAGCAATAGGAGTGGAGGTACCAGAGGAGGCAAGGATGGGAGAAAATTAAGAGCCAGGTCAATGCTCATTCATGAGGATCGGGAAGAGGTATTTTCTTTGTCTTTGAGGGTTATCTGAGGCAAGGGTATTTTAAATTAGACTTTCCGTACAGAGAAATTAAAGAGCCCTGAATCTCTTCCAACCAGCGTAAAACTATCTGCCTTTATCTATTTGTCAGAAACTCCACCTTTAAGCAGCATGTCAAATATAAGTATGTTAAATTACGGTTAACTGACTAGTCGAGTAGTCGATGGAATTTCCATCACCTACTGGACTAGTCGATAAGCACTTCCGCATTCCTCCTTTGAAAAGTACAAGAGTCCCTAGTGGGGGCTCTTGTACATTTCAAAGCCATGGAGCCTGGGGTCAGCGGGGGGCTCCCCAGTTAACCCCGGGTTCTGGGGAAATGCTGTACGGAGCCCAAGACCAGCTGGGGAGTGAAACATGGAGGTGGCGTTTCAAAGGGGCAGCCACCGCACAGCTGATCTCCAGCTCTGCTTTGCTCTGCTGCCGATTCGCACAGCTGATCCCAGGATCTCTCATAGAAGCAGGGGGGAAGGGGAAGGGGGGAAATCAACTAGTCAACAGACTATCCGATAAGCAAATGCTTATTGGATAGTCAACTAGTAATTCACATGCTTAGTCAAAATATCAACCAGCTTTGGCTACAACTAAACACACAAGGCTGCACAAACGTTAGCCCAAATGCAGCCTGTCCTGCAATATCCCTGAAGTTCAGAGCTCTAATGGCTGAGAGGCGATAGCTGAGGGAGGGAACAGAAGCCCTGTCTATAGTATTCCTCCCCTCCAAGTCAGCAGAAATACACCACATGAACCGCTGACTGCAATCTTGCTCATCTCGGCCACTGCACTCTGTGGTAAGGACTAAATCCATGGTGGCCAACCAGTTCTGAAATAGTAGTCACTATAGTGGCTAATGCTATGGTGAACTAGCCACACACAACCGACCAAGTAGTCACATGTGGCTAGTATGTTGGGACACCACCGGGCTAGATGGACAGCTCCAATACCAGTCCTCTTCATGTACCACGGATCCCTCCAAACACCCAGGCTCCATCTATACTATTTGTTTTTTGCAAAAGAGGAAATGCAAATGGAGCATTCATTTGCAAATCTCATCCTCTCATTTGCATATTCTCCTCTGATCCTTTTTGCGGAAGAGGTTTTTGTGAAAAAAGCTGCTGTGTAAACGGCCATTTTTTGGGGAAAAAAACTTTTGCGCAAGATCCCTTATTCCTCAAAAAATTAGGTTTATAGGATCTTGCGCAAAAGGGGATTTTTTCCAAAAAATTACCCCATCTACATAGGGCTTTTTGGCGCAAAAAGGACTGGAAGAGAATATGCAAATGAGAGGGTGAGATTTGTAAACGAGTACTCCATTTGCATCTCCTCTTCCGCAAAAAACTAAGGCTACGTCTACACTGGCAGTTTCTTGCACACGGACTGTTTTGCAGAAGAGTTCTTGCACAAAAAGTCTTCCAGAAGAGCACGTCTACACTGGCATGTGCTTTTGCGCAAGAGCGTCTATGGCAGTGTGGACGCTCTCTTGCGCAAGATAGCTCTGATTGCCATTTTAGCCATAGGGGTTTCTTGCGTAAGAAATTCATGTTGCCTGTCTACACAGCCCTCTTGCGCAAGAGAGAGTATTCCTCATGGGGAGAGGAATAACTCCTCCAGAAGAAGCCCTATTTTCCGACGCTGTACTGTAAATTTACGTGCGCAAGAATGCGCGTGCAGTGTAGACACCCAGCAAGTTCTTGAGCAAGAAGCCGCCAGTGTAGACGTAGCCAGACAGAATTTCCAGCTCCATTTAGACTTGCCCAGTTTGTGTTGGTTTAAACTTTACCTTCCTGTCATAAGAATTTCAAGCCAGCACCATTTTCAGCCAGTAAGCAACCAGGGCTTTTCTAGGCTATGTCTACACTGCAGGCTTCTTGCGCAAGAACAGATCTTCCGCAAAAAGTTCTTACGCAAGAACGCATCTATGCTGCCATGGACGCTCTTGCACAAGAAAGCTCAGATGGCCAGTCACACAATGGCCATCAGCACACCTGTGCTTTTTTCCAATAGGGGTTTCTTATGCAAGAAAGTTGTCTGACCACACACGTCTTTTGGCTTGTTCCTCGCAGAAAGAGGAATAACTCTTGTGCAAAAAGCCCTGTCTTCTGACGATCTACTATACTTTTTCTTGAGCAAAAACGCACTTATTGTGTGGATGATCCACGAGTTTTTGTGCAAAATCTGCAGTGTAGATGTAGCCCAAGTGTGGTGCAGGTGTTCTTTCAGGGCAGACAACTGAGGACGCTGGCTTGGAAACAAATATACAAACATCTCTCTAGCCATGATCAGGCTCATTTCACAGCCACAACGAGGGGCCTGCAGGTGGAAGGCAGCAAAGGGATAGGGTGTGGGGCGCATATGGCATGGATGACTGCAGAAAAGGTACGGAAAAGAGGATAGCATAATGAGCCAGGAAGAAGAAGGGGGCCCAATTCTGACCTCTCTTCAATGCATTTACACAGGAGTCAGGATCAGCTTCTTGCTCGCTTCATCAGGAGAATTTTGCAGCTAGTAACAAGGGGGGCAAGATACAGTTTTTAGGAAAGGAAAGACATTTCATTCAGCTGGGAACTTAGTAGCCTGGAAAGAGTCAGGACTTGTAAAGACAGAAGAGAGACAATTTTATAGTTGGTTTGATGTCTGCTTTTTAAATGTAGGTCTTCTACATAAAATGAGGCACCAGGATGATGCCAGGTTTAGGGGGGAAACAAGAATGGGCAATCACTTATTACAGGCAAGACATGCAGCTGGTGTGGGGAGTTTACAGCCTGCTCGGGTGCAATAAGAAAAAGATATTACAGAAAAATCTGAAGCTGAAATGTGTATAGGCCACAATGACAACTAGAAAGTGCCTTTTATTTTAAAGGGCTAGGCTCTGCCAGATGTTATAGTGCATAGCAGAGGATTACTATTTGGAGCGAGGAGGGGGTGTTTTGTTTTGTTTTTTTAAACAGAGTTCCTCAAATAGGCCATTTCAACATAACCTTCTTCTCTTTCTCCAGCAGTAAACATTTGCACTCACATTTCTTGGCTACTAAAAGCTGTGGGCTGAAGAGCTACAGAGTTTAGGCACTAAATAGTATAGTTTAATTATAAACATTTCAGCTAACCAGCCTGGTGGAAAGCCAATCTCTTTCTGGGGGAAACACTAGTTTGAAATCTTCTTTCCAGTCAGCTGCCATTTAAACTGAGCCAATTATCTTAGCCTTTTGACTCAGATGTGCCTGACCTAACCTGAATGTAGTTTTACTGCTGCTTTGAAATATCAGACTCATGCGCATATGCATTCACTCCCATCTTCATTTGGCAATGGCTCTGAAACAAGCCTCTGATCTTGCCAACATCAAAAGCCTGGTTTGTAAGATAAGGTAATATTTGAAGTTCGCTCAGCAGCATTCCCCTGTGTCCAAAGTAAATCCATAAATAAGATATAAGCAAATAAAAAAAATCCCCTTTCCTCTTCTCCCTCCCCCAATCAAGAGAGAGAAATTTGCATGATGCTTTGTGACTATTACAAAATTAATGTTTTTTAAATGTCAAGGAGACGTTTAAACTAAAACCACGAAGTATGTATTGTTTGGCAATTTTACCTACAGTTACAATTCAGTAGAAGATTTTTTTTTTTTTAAATCATAGCTCACTTTGCTGGTATGACTGACATGGAGTTTAATGGGACATATTCTGCTCTTCAGTTTACATTTGTATAAATAGGGAGTAACTCCATTAGAAGCTGATTTCCATTTACACTGATTTAATAGTAAAAAGTTAGTCTTGTTTTAAAGAGGGAGAGCTACATACTTGCAGCAAGACAGACACCATGACTTGCTCGTGACAATGGCGAGACTGCGCTCAGCAAAACGTTTTAGAAAGACTTCAGATTCTCTAGCAAAGTCCATTTTCTACCCAATCCAGGGAAGAGAAGAAAACCAGTCCCAGAAGTTGTATGTAGGTTCCATGACAATATTGGCAATAGCTGCTGAGGTTTCTGGAGAGGCAGTTTTACTTACATCAGGCCTGTGCTAATTGTGTATGTTAGCTAGTCTACCTCCCTGTGCATACGTGTGCACGCACAAACATTCTAGAGAGAAAAACAAAATACCCCCTACACTCCCTTCCCCTCATTACTCCCAGGAGTCAGGCCATTCCCACCCCCACAGACTAAGTGTGGCTAGAGAGAGAAACCAGCACTCAATAGTTCGGGGACTGGCTCCGTTTGTAACAGGAACTCTCTCTCCTAGGTTTGTCTCTTAACACCCATGTAAACCTTCTGCATTCTATTGAAATACACACATGCCCCCTCCTCTCTCATTGCTCTCCCCCCGGCCCCCAAAAAAACTTGAAGCTCCCAGCAGTTTAATGAGCCAAGCTTCCCCAAGCTCCTCACAGTCTGCACTCACTATTGTTATGGCAGGAAAAAACAGCCAAGCTCCTTTCATGCACTGCTTTATGGGGAGCTCCTATTCACTTGTTCAAGTAAATTTCAAAGCAGCCTGCTACCCTCTTATCCCCTCTAAGCTCCCCTAGACTAACAATAGGCTGAAAGCGATTCAGTTAAGCCTTTCATCCACCATGCACTTTATTTCTCACTCAGTGCTCTCATCTGTATAAGGCCTACAATTGGCATTGCTGTGAAGAGAGGGTATAATCCTAGCCCTGTGAATCCCAAGTGACCGTACATTGGTCCAGAAATGACTAACCCAATGAATGCTCTGTTGACACATGATCACATACAACCAGAGCCAGTAAGAATAAAGAAGTCACCCTATGATTCAGCTCTTTTATTTAATGCCAATATTGTTCAATAAGAGAACCCGGTGGGACAACAAGCTATGTTTTCCAGAATATCAGTTCAAAACACACATGTGCATTTAAAAAAAAAATGCACTTGTTTGTGGAGCTAGGATTTTGTTGTTATAAAAAAACCCACCCCCCCACTCTGTTTTCCATTAAAGTGTGAGCACATAATTATGAAGCAGACGGAGGACTTTAAAAAGCCAGCAAGCGGGTCTTTGGGGAAAAAAAAATATACAGTATACACCTCCAACAGAGACACTGAAGGAGTGGCATTCATGAGATGAATGTGCTGAATACACCATTTTATTTAGCAAACACACATCTTTTCCAGAAAACGTGGTCTGTTTCGTTGGTGTGACCTGCACTTAAATACACTGCCTGTCATCAGAGGCCCTGGAGGTGCTTTATAGCTACTAATGAATTAAGTCTCACTACACCTCCATGAGGAAAGACAAGTACCCCCATTTTAGAGGATCAGCAACTTGCCCAAGGCTATCCAGCAAATTGTGTCAGAGCCCAGATCTCATGATACTCAAGCTTGGTCTTTAACCATTGGCCCATCCTTCCTCTCCTCCACAGGCTCCTAAGACTCTTGACATTTTAATCCAGACAGCTCATTTCAAACAATTCTCTGAAGGATCGTAATGTGCAGCTATTGTCCCTGCAGGTCAGTAACCCTGTTGGTGTGGATTCTGACATTATTGGTGAATCCCAGTGACAGAAAGCAATTAATGTAGAAAGTTTTTTGGGGTGTGTGTGGGGGGTGTTATGATGCTTACACCCTAAAGGATGCTTGGCTTTCAAACAAAAGGTGTGATGAAATACAAATACATTCTATGTGTTAGTAGCAGTGTTTCTATTTTTTCAGCATATGGGAGAACCTGTTTGCTTGCCCAGTTAGGCTATGTCTACACTGTGATGCTATTTCAGGATACCAGAGGGAAAACTGGTGTTGGCACAGGGGGAGGGGAGATGGGACTCAAACCCACCGCTCTGCACTCCCAAGGCAAATGCCCTATCCACTAGGCCACTCCAGAACTGACCTTCAGGGCATCCCTTGTCTTGCCTTCCTAATGCCAGAGCCTGCTCCATTCCTGGGAAGTTGGGTATCCCAAAATAGCTAACCCGCATCTTAACAGCATGCCCATTATTTCAAAATATAACGGGCTCGCTATTCCAATATCTCTGTAAACCTCGTTCCACAAGGAGTAAGGGACATTTCAGAATAGCGGGTTATTTCAAAATGACAAAATAAGCTATTTCAAAATGGACTCAAAGTACACTACACAATTTGCATAGCTCAAGTTGAGTAACTTATTTTGAGCAACAGGTGCTGTGCAGACAGACCCTTAGAGATTAAAATGAGAACTGGTGAAAAGAAGCAAAACCAATAACAAACCAAAAGGGATGAGCCACCCATCACGGTTACTACAGCCAATAGACTGTGTCAAATGAGTAGATAGGAGAGCCATCAGCAATACTTCTGGATGGCTGAAGACTCCTCTTAGTGTCTTAGGATTTCAGTTCCCGCAGGCCTCATGTCCAATGGGAAGTGGAAGCAACATTAAGAGTATAGAACTATCCCTCCTTGCAAGTCATTGTGGGACATCAGCAGAGTTAGTTTTCAAGAAGCAAACTCCAAAGGACCTCGCTAAAGAGGAATACTTACACGCTGCTGTCCGTCATTGACATGGAATCATCGGTCAGCGCATCGCTAGATATTTCGCTATCATTTGCGCTAGTTGCTGGGGCAAAAACATAGCCAGAATTCACATGGTATGGATTAATAGGATCACTCCTCTTGAATGACCTAAGGACAAGCAAAATAGGGGTCGAGTTATTTTTACATCTGGAAAAAAAAAAAAGGACAGAACATTAGTGTCATACTCCTGTAAGTGTGCACATAAGACACAAAGAATGGCTTTAAAACTATTCATCTACTGTTTTGCATCCATCACGCTCTCAGAATGCTTAAGCTCTTGCCGCCCACAAGAAGTTTATCTTGACAGCTAACATGAATTTAGGCTGGTCCAGAACTACCCAGTCACCAACCACACAAACACTAACATCAGCAAGCTAGCGGCTGCGTACTGTTAACCTAAGTTTTTCAGCACACTTAAGGGATTTGGGTTTCTCAAGTGTAGGTCTACACCACTGTACAAAGCTCAGGCACTAAGTTCTCAGAGCCACGGAGTGGTACTTTGGTGGGAGAGATAAAAATAGAGTTAGTCACTCAGGTCCACGCTCTGTCTCTACACTGCATGTTCTTAGCTCCAAAGCCCTAGTCAGCTGACCCATGCCAGCCTCAGCCATCCTGTAGGACTTTACATACCCAACATCTCATTTTCAAAAATGACTCGAGTCCTGATTTTTAAAGGTATTTAGGTGCCTGAAGATACAAATAGGCACCTACTGACATGTTCAAAAGCATGCTTCTGAGATCACAAGCACCTAAATATTAAAAATCTGACCCCCAGGGCACTGAAAGTCATTAGGACCAAAGCTACTACATGCGTAAGTCTCTTCTGAAAATAGGACTTTGGTGCATTTGAAAAATGTACTGCCTCTCCTTTCAGGCATCAGAGATAACTGACCACAACCACTGACATCTGACCAGCTTTAGAATTACAGTACTAATAAATAATATGCATTTATACAAGCCAGCTTAACAATAGGATCTCAAATGGCTCTTACAAAGGTGAGTGCCTTGGTGTCCTCTTTACAAAGAGGGAAACTAAAATGCCAACTTTCAGGAGCACTCTAACTTTCAGTGCCCGTCATTTTGGGAACACCTTGGAGGTGCCAAGGACTGTATTTTAGAGCAGTTCTGAACACTCAGTGCCAATTAAGATCCATGCACCAGGAGAGAGGGATGGATGAAAAGCCTTAGGGGTGTCAAACTGGGTATCCCAGAGTGGAGAAATCAAGAATTATCAGACACTTCTGAAAAGTTTGATCTGCATTACAGAGCCAGGTAAAGGCCCCCCAGGTACCCTCACCCCCTAGCCGGTGGAGAATGTTTCAACCCAACCAATTCCAAGTTTTAAGAGTTTAAAATTCATTTACAAGTCTTTCAATCTGTGGGAAATAGTCTGTGCCAAGGGGTTTTAAAGTGAGTTTTTTTCCAGATATATATTTGTTTATACATAAATGCAGGTCTTGGCTGTTCCGCTTTTGAGTTTGTGTATCAAAGCAGAACCTCATTATCTGATAAGGTCTGCTGATTTTAATAATTAGGGTCACTTACACTGCACTTGGGGCCTCAGGAACAGGATCACATGCTCCACAGGTTTTAAAATGGGCTTTCAAACTCCCCACCCCCACACCACCGCTTCTGGGATTGGAGGAGGCCAGCTTGATTTAAGTGAGCAGCACAGCTGTCTTAATGGAAAGCAGCACTTCCCCTCCCGCTAGTATCTCTAGTCCCTTTGTTTCATTTGCCCCTGTTACCCACTTTCGACCTCTTCAGTGGTCTTAACTCACTTCTCTCACACACAAGTTCCCCCTACTCCCCTGCTGTGTTGCATTCCTCTGTTTCACTAGCAAGGGGAAAACATGAGCCTTTGCAAAGGCTTAAGCAAAGGGGGTGGGGGAAGGAGGAGGATTGGCCCCTATGCTAAAAGAGCCCTACTGCAAACAGCATGACTGAAGTTGTAGGCCCCCGGTTCAGAGTGGAGCTTTGCAGGAGGCCTTGCTGCACAGAGTCAGGTATTTAGGCCCAGCTGGGATTACATTCTTTTCCAAAGCATGCAAAGTCATTTCAATGGGAAGATCAAGACTTTTTTTTTTTACGTTAAAAAAATAGAAGATAGTCAAATGCCACAGGAAAGAAGGCAAGTCTTAAAGATAAATTCATTCCACATGCCGATGAAAGTCAAGTTTTCCTATCACAAAGAAGAAGAAAAAAAGTGTCCTTTTAAAATAAATACTGCTCTCCTGATAATATAAGTTTGCTTATAAGGTACCACTGACATACTTTAGGCCAGTGTTAGTTTTTGGTAGCAAACAGAAAGGCTGAAGCCTCTACTTTTTATCACTCTACTTGAAGCTGTTTAATGTCTTGCTTCCACAAAACCCAGACCCATTAGGGTTATTATTGTAAAGTATTTGGTTTCAAGATGCTCACCATATGTACTAAGCAATCCTGCTTTTAAGTGAGTCTTAAGTACCTTCCTTTTATTTCATGTTCCGTGTTGCCATTTAATCATGCTAATACAGAAGCAATTAATCATTTGACAGTTTACACTGCAACCTTATTTTTAAAAAAAAAAATCAGTGGTGCTATCTAATCACTTTATAGAAAGATGGCTCAGAGTGTGTGTGTCATCTCTCTAAATTCAGCTTTTAACCTACCCTATACCAACAAAGTATTGTGAGTACTCCAAAACTGACCCTCTCTATCCCAAAGATACAATTTCAACAGTGGTTCAGCATAATTAACATCACTTTCAGAACTTGGTTTAATTTAAAACACACACATACACTTTTTACTTTATCTTTAATCATCTTACTTTAAAAGAGGGCAGAAAAAGTTTCAGAATAGCTCCATCCAGAAATTCCCACATTCTTTAAGAAAACTGATTAGGGCTGGGGTTTTTACACGATCAACTTTTTAAAAACTTGACCACACTACAGTAATTACACCCAGATGCATCAAGTTGCCTTGAAGGATTTTAAATTCCTATGGAAACTGGAGGTCTCTGATGCAGATTCTGCACACACAAAAATCTTCAAACTCAATATGCAAAGTGTTTTCAGCTGTCAGGTAGCAGTTGCTCCAGAGCTGAGCGTCAGAGGCAGTGTGATGTTTCTCAGACTATTCTTATCTTGATGAGATGACACACATTATGTAGTGCTCTATACATTATGCTAGGCAATGGGGGGGAAAAGTCACAATGGGATTACAATGCAACTAGAATTAATGGGGGCCTTTTCTGGACCCCCTGTTACAACTATGCCATGTAAAAGCATGTTTGATCAGCACGTGCACACAGTCAACCCTGAAATAAAAAGCAGTCTGGTAGTTAAAACCACAGACTGACTGATACACTGAGAAAGAAATCCTCAAGCAGTGTTTTTCAAGACAAGACTGAATCTTACTAAATATTTTACTGACACAACCATCACCGGACAATCAGGGGTAAAAAAAAAACCCTAAAATATATATTTTAGCAAAACTATGTTAATCACAGCTTCCATGCTCTAACTGTGGAACACTGCTTCAAGCATAGCTTTACAATGGCATCATTTACTTTGATAATTGAAGCCAAACTTGGCTTCAATAACTTCACACAAAATGAGCTCCATCAGCCTCTTTCAAAGGACAGGAAGCACACTTTGAGCCAGTAGAGAGCCATCTGCTAGCCCCAACTTATAAAGCAAGGCCAATCTCACTGATGTTAGAACAGAGAACTTAATGGGAGGCAGATGAGTCCACCTTGGATTGAATAACAATATATTATATAGAAAGGCAGCATTCTAAAGGCAGGAGAAACGCTCCATGCACACAAAAACACATACATGATGAATTCAGAACCAAATATAAATAAAATAATTGGGCGGATTCTCTCTCACATTCTTAGGTCCAACATAAATTCAGTGGCTTGAGGGCCGCGAGCACAAGCCAGTAGATACACATCTCATACGTCTAAAAAAAAAGTAGTGTTTCTAAGGAGGAGGGAAATCTGAAACAAGCTCAGTATATATATATATATATATATCCATCAGGTGCCCACATATATAACCAATACTTAATACACCCCAAATTCCATTTTTTCAAACTTTTCAGTATAGCTAGGTAAGACAAAAATAGGATTCAATTGAAATGCATTAGGAGACGGTGGCAGATGTAGGTAGCTAAGATACAGACTGCTTTGAAAACCTGAACTGCTGTGAACACACAGCATTTCTGAATGTGTGTGACACATGCACACCAGGAGGTGTGGTTTGGCCAGCAGCCAATGAAGGCTCTTCTTTATCAAGCTCCAAGTCCAATCCTAAATGCAGTGAGTAGTGAATTGTGATGAGACAACTCATCCACTCCACGCACTCCTCAGCCACCAGTGTGTGTGTGTGCGCGCGTGCGCAGCCTCCCCTCCTCCCCCTGACCCACCACACACACCTTTGAACAACTACAACTTAGAGGAGGAGGGAAAACACAGTTTCCTGGCTTTTGGATGGAGAAGACTCTCTGCTTGACCTCCCATCTCTGCATTCTCCATGGAGTCAAGAGATCGTGATTCAAAAGCTATTGGACATGCAAGAGAAGGTGATCAAAGCAAACAGCACTGCCTCACCTCCTGGGGGCAGATTTGACATCTAAGTAGAAAAGAGTAAAAATAAAAAAATACACTCCACTCAACAGAGCTGCAATCTCAAGGAACAAGGGCCATCAGTATTCCTAGCCAGGAAGACAACACTGGTCATGGTTATGATTTATGAAAAAAAATTCTCTTGAGCCAGAAGCAATACAATGTTAAATCCACTCCCAACGAGGCAATGAATTCCAAGAGACCAAAAGATAGAGAACATCACAGCTGAGGGACAAGCAGCAGGGTTCAATCCTGGAGAACCAGTAGATGTGGAGCCATGATGCTCATGCAAGGGGAGGAGGTTCACAGCACTCCCCACAAACAGGCTACTGGTAGGACTTGAGACCTGCCAACTCCCCTGAATGGAGGAGATGGACAGCCCCCTCTTCGAGACCAGCTTTTTGAGCAAAGAGACCAAGAGCCAAATACTGCTCTCAATTACACCAATATAAGATTGTGTTACTCCATAGATGTCAAGGAGGAGTCACTCCAGATTTACACTGAATTAATCCCACAGTCCCTGGATCCACTTTGCACACCACAGCACCAGGAAAGGCCACACTGCTGCAGCCTCTCTGAAGGTCAGGGAAGGAACACAGACGTGCCCTACAGCCACCTTCCTCTCAGAGGCAGAATACCTCTGAATTAGAAGCCAGAAGCCCTTTAATGTCCATGAATCACAGAAAAGGCTCTCAAAATTCCTGTAAACCAGATGTCAACCCGTTTCCACAGTGAAAAACAAACTCCTTGTGCATCTGGGCTAGCAGACAGAGTATGCAAGGGAAAGCACATCACTTTAATGGAAAAGGTGGGGGAGAAGGGATGTGGGAAGAAAAGTAAGTTTTCAGAAGACTATTTTGCCCATCAGTTGGACTATGATCATGGTCACTCTATAAGGGGCTACTTGTTCCCCTCCCCCACCTTTTCAAGAAAGCATACAGCAAAAAACAGGGACTTGGGATCACAGAAATGTATCTGCCTAAGTACCTAATTAAGACTTTGCCTCTGGTGTGCATAACAGATACTACACACTCTACACTTGGTATTAAGACACAGATCCAGCCTTTAGTAAGTTTAACTTCAAGCACACAGCCTTCAAGAGAACACCAGACCTACTATAACACTGCACCTGGAATGGCTACCATAGCCCCAAGTACTTGCTCCTATGTTCTTCTGCTCTTATGTATATTGACTCAAAGCCATCTGGAATGGCTTTTGCATGATACCAATAATGAACTTGAAGACTGTAGTACACATACAAACTTTGTGTGTGTCTTACTATGCAGTCAGTGCATACATTTCCTGCTCCATCACTACACAATTGCATCCCATGGAACCAATCCACTTAAGCACCGGTTAGTGGCGAAATGGGTGAAACGTTAGTTCATTATTCATATGCCTCTCTGGAGGCTCTTTACAGTTACATATAAAATGTTTGCAGGTTGCTGCCATAAGTGTCCAAAGATACATTTGCTATGAAGTGTTTGTTGTAGAAGAACTGGAAGAGCCAATAAGCTTTGACAGCACAAGCTAGTGCTTTTTCTTCTCTACAGAAAAGAGCAATAAAAAAAAACAAAATAAATACCTGAATATTTAAAGTAGAGATAAGCATCTATGTTGATTCCACCAATAGATGCCTAACCAATTAGACCATTTTAAAAACTTTTTTTTTTTTTTTGGCGAATGTTGCATCCTGTTTTAAAACCATCTGAGACTGAATGCCCACTTCTTCCTTTCAAAGTGGAATAGTCTCAAAGTCCTTAAAAAGTTTTTTTTTTAAATTCCAGTGTGTTTTCTTACCTGTATCCATTCTCAGCTGTTTCCGTAGCTCTGACATTTGCTGTAACCCTTAAAGTCTTGCTGGATAGTCCAACAACAGAAGGCAAGATTTTGTTTTTCAAGTCCACACAGCTCCATTCTTCTTCTTCATTCAAGGTTGGGAGATAGCCACAGACCACTTTTAAGCTCCCCAGTCCATTGCTGTTCATATAAGCAGGATTCTCTCCCCCACTCCTTACATATTCGAGGTATATATCAGAAGTTAAGAACATCTGGTAAGCATTTTCCTCCATCACCGTCTGAATTTCAGTCTGTGCTTGATCAAACATGATAGAATCGATCTGCTGCTTCTTGATACTATCTCTTATATAGGTCTTAGTGGCAGGCTTCAGCTGCTTGGAAACAATGCTGTTGTTCTCTATGTACCTTTTGTATATAGCTTTGGCGACTCTTAAAGTTTTGGTATCCTTAAGGTCCATCTGCCTGAAGCCATTGCAGGCAAACCAGAAGTCTAAGGTATCCACACATTTCTCTCTTTCCAGGAAGGTCCGGAAAAGATGGGCACCATCTTGGTCCCCCAATAAGGAATGCAAGGATTTGGTCCATCTTGCCAGAGGGGAGTCTGGGGATGCACTGCCTTCTGGCTCTCCGAGACCATCCTCATTCCTCCTGGGGTTGGAAGAAATTGACATGGCCTTGATGCTTTGGCTTTTCATGGCAAACGAGCATGCAGGCTGTTGGCATGGTGTGTGTCCTTCTTCCCCTGGCACAGGGGGGCGGGGGGCGTCTTCCCGAAAGCTGCTACTGGGGTCCGGAAGGTGAGTCAGCAACACAGCACTGCTCATGGCTCCACAAATTCTTCTGGTAGGGTTTTTCTGCCTCCCTTAAGGTCCTCAGTAATCTGTGTGTGTGTGTGTGAGTGCCTGTGTGTGTGTGTGCGCCTCTCTCTCAAGTCAGCAGGAGATCCTCTGAGCCTCCTCTCTGGAAAAAAAAAGAGAAAAGAAAAGAGTATTGATCTAATCAAAACCAGATCCACCCAACATCAAAGACAAAAAGTAAACAGGCTTTTCAACTCTTCACATTCAAAAAAAGAAAAAAAAGCAACGCAGCTATCTACAGTGTTAATCAAAAGTATCAGATATGCTTTTCTGAACTCTGGGCACACTTTTAACTGGGGGTGGGGGGATTTCAAAGAAAAAGAATTAACCCTTCACTGAATACACTGCATATATAATCACAACACAAATCCTGTCTCCAGTGAAGACACCCCTCTTTAAAAAAATATAGGTAACCATCTCCCCTTGACAGCATCATCAGACACAAACTTGGCTCTGTTTTACTATCTGCAGGAGAAACTAGTTTTGCGCACGCACACAACAACAAAAAATCCACCCCTCCCGCCTGAATTTTGCCTCTTTTTTGTAGATAACTCAAGGCAGGAACAAGACGTGCTTTCCTCGGCATCTGGTTTCCATTTTACCCCCTCTCCTCTCACTCCTTAAAAATTTAGATTATGATCACCAGAAGCCCTTCTAGCACAATGCTGTTCTGGAACGGCACGTTCAGAAAGAAAAAAATTGGGGGAAAAATCGCTACAATGTTTCATTAAAAAAAACAGTTGACTCATTTCAGAAGTTAACTAACATCTTTAAAAAAAAGCTCCCATGGATTAGGTTAAGTTGAGCACATGCACTTGTTAAAAAGTTTGAAAGAGAGAGGAAAAATAATCACCCACCCCTTTGCCTCCAAAGACTGACTCACTAGTGACTTTTTTATTAGAACAAGTTTCCATCATTAGAAGGTAAATGCGAAACTCACTAAATCTTGCTATGGATTTTTTTATTTAAAAAAATCAATAAAAAAGTAAACAGTAAGGTTGCAGATTTAAAAGCTTCTCTACCGTTTTAATAAAACTTGCTTCCATCCAATAAAGAGCTGGTTTAATGAGCATGTGAAAGGCTCTCAAACTAATCAGAAAACGTGAACTCAGTTCCTAGTTTTACCCCCCCCCCCCCCCCTCAAACCCAAGCAGAAATTCACACACAAGCAGTTCAATGTGTCAACCCTATTATCATCAGTCAGACTTGCAAGATCGAGCCCTGTTTGCAGAAAAGGAAGAGAAAGTGCCTCCCCCCTTGTCTATAATGTACCTGAATGCTGCAAGCATCCCGTGCCCGGGTTTTCATCTCCTCCAAGCTCAACCCTCTGCTCCCCACCTTAGAGCAAAAAGAAACACACCCAGCCACCCCTCCTGCAAGCAAACACCAAAAAATAAAAGAGAGATCCTCCAAAAATAAAAACTAAAGAAGAGGGGAAAAAACAATCCAGGAGGCGCCAAGCCCTCAAAGGACAATCCTGCCAAATAATAATAAAAAAAACCTGCTCCAGAAATGGCGACGGGCTGAGAAATGAGAGGTTGGAAAGAGATCTTAGAGAGAGAGAGTCCTAAGCTACTTGCTTCCTTCGAATCCTGTGCCACAACTGACCCCTAACTAAGCGTGCAGCGCTCTTTGGAGTTCACAGGGGGTGTTGAGGGATGTGGGAGGGGGATGGAGGAGGAGAAAGGGGGGGGGGAGAGGAGAGAAATCTCATTCTCACCACATCCACCTTTAACAAAAATGCATCCTGCTAGGTCTGCCTCTCTCCCGCCCCCCATGCCCATAAAATAAAAGCCTCCCCTCTTGCAAAAAAGGGAAAATAAAGACTCCGAGATCTCGATTTTGCAACATAATTCAAAAATAAAATAAACCCCACTCTGGTTTCAAGCCCAGCCCTGCTTGCCCATAGCTAGCACATAAATAGCTTTCCTTAAAACTTCAAAGCCCCAGCGAAGAGCACATCAAAGCGACCCGGAGAGGGAGAAGCGGGGGGTGGGGGAGGAAGGCAAGCGCTAGGATCACACACACATTCTTTTGCAACTTACCATTGATCCTCAGTAGTTTTCTCTGCACCGCCGCCGGTCCGTTCCTCCTTAAAACAGCCCCCCGGCCCTTTTCCACCAAAAGTATCCGCAATGTTGCACCGATTGCCCCCCCACCCCTATATTTTCTTCTTCCTCCTCCTCCTCTCTGGCTTTGCAATAGCATCTGAGAGCATTGGACGAAACTGGGGAGGGGGGGGTGTACGGAATGTATGAGTAAAAGCAACAGAGTTCAGCGTGATCCTCTCCTTCTACCAACAACCGCCCCCCCCCCTTGTAAAAAAATACAAAAGATCGGAGCCCTCGCCTCCTTCTCCTGACCCCCCACCCCCCCTTCTTTCAACTCAGGTCCTGTTTCCATCAGTCATTCCATGCACCAAATGTCCTCCGGGCTATTCCAACAAACACTGAGCTGTGGGTTTAACTGTGCACATCAAAGTGAAGAACCGAGAGAACGGTCCTGCAAGGGAGATAAGCGCCTTGCTGCAACACCTACTCCCCCCCCTCCAAGCCCCCCCACCACCCTCACACACGTCTTCCTCTTGCACCATCTCGGGGCCGCCTAGCACGCAGCTCGAGCGCATGCTTGTTCAAAGGAGGGTTTTTATGCTTTTGCTTCTTTTTTTAATGGAAGCTTTTAGACTGGGAATTTTTTTTTTCATCTCTGGAGTTGCTACTAAGTTGCCAGGACCTTATCAAAGAGAAACAATCTCCAGCCAACTCCCCCAGGCTTTGGAACGTCAGAAGTAAGTGATCCTGCCGCCCCAATCGTATTATCCCTGCATTTCTCCCGGTGCCTTAAAGGGACAGGCAACCCCTCTTTTAACCCTTTCCATGCTCAATCCGCCTGCCAACCTCTGTGCTCTCAGGCTCTGCTTTGTAACCAGCCGCCAGCGAGATAGGTATCAGTGATGCTTGAACAATCGCCTTTAGACAATTGCTTGCCAACCAACAGCTTTTTGCATTTAGGCTTTTTTTTTTTTCTGGTCAGCTTTAGGACTGTAGAATTGTGAAATTTTTCTGCAGGATGAAAAAAAAAAACTTTCCCAGAAACTGTTCCTATTTGAAGAAAATTGGCCCGTTTTAATCATCCCAAGGCCTGTTTTTAGGCCACATCCTAATTAAACAATATCTGATTGTAATATAACTGGCATATAAACAGAACTCTGGCTTAAGCTGTGTTCCCATCCCACTCTCCCCATATGTAAAATATTAAGCAGACACAGAATGTTGGTGAGGTTTGGGGTTTTTTTTTATACTTTATACAAAAGGCTTTAATTAGGGATTGGACCCCAAACCTGTATTCCTCATCCAATTCCCCTTCTTTCCCCCATGCACATCTCTTGCATGGTACTTTTCATCAGTAGTTCTCAACACACTTCATAAAGGAAAGTCAAGTAAATCACTACCCTCATTTTGCAGCTGGTGAAACTAAGGTGCAGGGACGTAAAATTACTCACCTAAACTGACCCAGCAGGCTAGGGGTAATGCTGGGATTAGAACTAAGTGCCACAAAACTCCATTTTCCCCCTTACTCAGATATATTTATGGGAGGGGGGCAGAGCACAAAGAACACCCCTGGCCTAGGAGGAAGGCCCAGTCCCATTTTGAATCTGAGCTTTGTAGTTGCTACTCAGCTCTAGTTTTAGTGAACTGAAAACATTTTTATGTCCCCATCTTCATACAGAGAACCTATAGTTCAGTTAAAAAAATGAATAAACAAAAGCAGGAAGAACTTCAATCTGCACCCACAAAACAAGGCAACTGGTGTTTTTCCTCCATGGCATGGTGAAACTCTGCAATCAGATTTTTATTGTTTTTTAATATATATTATGATTCAGCCCAGAGACCTCAAACAGGTTCACTCACAGTGCTTTGTCCCAGTACATACAGAGTCCATGCCCAGAGTACGTGATATAAGGGCCTCATCCTTCAAATACTTACGCATCTGAGTAATTTTACTCACATAGGTAGGCCCAATAGGAGTGCACAGAGTTGCATACATTATTACTTGTGTCTGTTTATTTACAGCAGCGCCCCAACTCTTCAAAAGGCCAATCCAAGGAAAATATGTTCAAAGTGTTACTATATGCATCAAGGTCGCATCAGCCACTTATTCTCAGCAGAAAGGCCTGAACATCAGACCACTTGGTTTAGGTGCCAAAATTGAGATCTCTGGTCTCTTTTGAAAAGTCATATGGGCTGAGAAGTCATTGGCTAGGACGGGGACTGCTGCAGGGCAGGGCTGGCACTGCAAGGCAATTAAAGTAGCAAATGGGCTATGCTTTTCAAACACCAGCTTCTTTTTTGTGAATGTAATTTATGACAGTCCCTTGGAAATGCAAAAGCTCCATGCAACCTGTTATTAGCCTCTCAGACTAACTTTTAACTGCAAGACAAGAATCTCTCTCGGCTCTGCATACATTCCCCCCTCACCTCCCCAAAGTATACAGAGTGGAGGCAATGCAAATAGCAATTATGTAGAATTTCCATCAGCCTGTCTCCAGTACCAAGAGTCTGCTGCAGTCTTCGTTTGTTCACCATCACTTAACACCACTGGTCAGAGATAAACAGAAACCGGTGCATTTTTGGTTAGATTGGAGAGTAAAGGGGAAAATACTATGGGAAGAAATGCTGCTAATACAGAAACACACTTTGCATGCTTGACGAGTTCTTTCTTTAGAACAGCCTTGGGCTGGATGCTCAGCTAGTGTACATCCTCCGAAGACATAGGGGCCAGCCCCCCACTGATGTTCGTTGGCACAGCTTCATTGAAGTCTATGGGGCCAGATCTTCAACTGGTAGCTCCACTGAAGTCAATAGAGCCATCCTCCCAGCTGGTGTAAGCAGAGACTCTCCTGGGTATGTGCCAATGTATAGCTCCCGAGACTGTGGCCTCTTATTTCTGTAAAATCAAAGCTAACCAAGGAGGCGTGTCATTGAAGTGACACCAGCTAGACTTTATGGGCCAGGGAGAAAGGTGGTGGAGCCCTTAGCTGTCTCTAATGCATGTTTGGGTTTATCTGACAGTCCTGAAGTAGCAAATGAAAGGGGCAAAAAGACACAGGCAGGGGGCTAGTCTGTGGTGCATATTTGGGGAGCTATAAATTAATCAACACGTGGCATTGGGATATTTGGGCGGGAGTGGAGATAGCATGAGCAGCTAGGGCAGTTTTCGGTGGGGGGGGAATAATTAGTAAGTGGCATGGAGGAAGTGGGGGGGGAGTGCCATAATCGGCACGTGGGGGGGGGGGGGGGCTGGGGGGGGGGATT